GGAGAGAAGGGACCAGAGAAGGAACCTGAGGAGCAGAGAGAGCAGGACCAGGATGGGGATGTGACGATGGAATTGGAGCCGGAGGCTCAACCGGTGCAGGAAAAGGAGAAGAGTCAAGAAAAGGAAGACGAGAGGGCTGAAAGTGAAAAGGAGGATGTCGAGATGACCGATAAGCCTGCTGAGACCGAGGAGACAGAAAAGGCAGTCGAGGAAGACAAGGAAGTGGAAACAGCTGGCGAGCCGGAGCCGGAGCCGGAGAAGGAGAAGGAGAAGGAGAAGGAGCCGGAGCCGGAGAAGGAAGCCGAGCTCGAGAAAGCCGCTACCCCTCAACCAGAAGCAAAGGAGGCCGAGTCCGAGCCCAAGCCAGTCAAGGAAGCCGAACCCCAGCCCGAGTCTCCAGCGGTTTCCAACCTTGATGCCCCAGCTAAACCTCCCGCAGAAGTCGAAAAGACTCCTGCACCGGAACCGGAGACGGAAACGGCGGACGATAACGACGATACCATCGTTGAGGAGCCGGAGGAGGCAGTGGAGGAACCATCAACGCCGGTAGAGGCAGTCATTGAAGAGGCTTCTCGACCTATCCCTGAACCCGAGGTCGTAAAGGCTGTGGTCACGGAGACCATCACGGAGGTTAGGGAGGCTACGGTACCGCCTGCGGTCGTTGCGGAAGAGTCGGCTAAGGCTGCCTCTCCCGCCGCGCCTGTCGCTCCTGCTGCAGATGGTGATCAGGCTGCTGCTGCTGAGCACGACGCAGCTGACGCCGCCGCTGCGGCCATCATCACCACGATTACTAGTACGACCACCACTGCCACTACACCGCTGCTCCTGTCGCTACCCGGTCCCTGCGATTGAGTAAGGAGGCCCAGGATGAGGACAAAGAAGAGGGCGAGATTTAAGCAAGACATTTAGAACAAGGGACATGTGGAATGATGGCAAATTTTGGGACACACTTTTTGGGACACTAGAAGGTGGGAGGAGCGGATTAGAAGTTGTGAAAAAAAACACATGTATCACAACCTGTGTAAGGAAGAGAAAGAGAGCGTTGCATTGCTTGTTTTGTTGTTGTGTTGCCGGACATGTTTGATACCAGACTGGCTGTTTGTTTAGATGAGCCAAGGGTTAAATGAAGAGAACCTTGTGGAAGACAGTTGAAGTGGTTGGTTATATTGCTGTGTTTTGGTTTGTACCTTGCCATCTATACAGATTCGCGAGTATGTATTGCTGGGAGCGTTGATATATGAACTACGAATTCTTGGTGATAGCAGGCTGACAGGGTATAGACGTGGTTATTAGAGCTAGAGGAAATTGTTAGCCACACGGCCTGCACAGGTGTGGATCAGATCAGTGACGACTTTTTATTAGCTCTCATCCGTTTTAAGTGCCTTGTCACGAGAATTATAACGAGTGTCTTGTCAACGTCAATTTCTTGTTAGCCCAGACAGGTAAAACCACTCCTATCGTACAGCCTGAGCCTACTCGTGAGGCCTACAAAACTAGCACTGACGAGTAGCTCCTGACCCGAGAGGTATCCAATCTCCAATACCTCCCTCATCAAGCAGCAGACAACAAAGGTGCCAGCGTAGACTAAGACAACCTCACAGTCCTAATATACGTTCTGCACAATCATCTTTGCTTGCTTCCATTTCCAATCTGCCTGCCACCCACCCACCCACCCACCATCCACCTGCTTGTACCTAGCTACCCATTCCATCCATCCCCATGTATTCCATATATCCCATATACGTATATCTTCCGTTTTCTTTTCTTTCCCTTCTTTCTCTCTTCCCAACCCTTCCCCCGTAATATCCCTTTCTCCTTCCGACTCCCTCCGTTACTGGCAGAGTGCTACACACCAGGACGGGACCGATAGCTCGGTCACAAGTAAATAGACTTTTAGTTTTTAGTCTAAAAATCCGTAACCCGCCCGTTAAAACTCCAATCCCCGCCCGCCCCCCACCGCAAAGGCTCATTCTTCGGCCCACCAACCTCGCCGGTCTTGGGGTTAACGTCCCCTTCGAACTCGGGCGGCGCGCCCTTGCGGATGCCGCCGCTGAAAGTCTGCGAGGCGTCTTCGATTACTGGTGCTTGCGTCGCTACTGTATTCTCACTGGCAGGTTGGGTGACGTGCTTGGAATTGTTTTCGGGCGAGGCGGGAGTGGTGGGGGTGCCGGCGGGGTTTTGGGAGATGTCGGAAATGGTGGTGTGCGTGTACAAAGCGGCTTCGGCGGCGGCTTGGAGACGCTCGAATTCGGCTTGTTGGTCGGCGGGCAGACGGGGAGGGGCGGGGCCGCGTTGGAGGAAGGAGGAGGAGTAGCGGGCCGTGGCTGGGAGTCTGATGAGGCCCGAGAGGGGGCGGGTGAGGGAGAGGAGGCGGCGGGACATTTTGTTTGTCGTTGTTGGTGTTGACAGTTTGGTTTGGGTTGGGAATGTTGAGGTTGAGGTTTGGTATTTGAGGATTGGATGCGGATGCGCGGTGATACCGGCGATAGTTGTGAGGGTTTTGGATTAGGATCTGTCGAAGGAAGGGATCTCAGTCGCGAGTCCGTCTTATGATTGTGATGTTGTCGTGCGCAAAGCTGGTGATGAGGTTTGTGTGGCGGTTCGCGGAAGGAAAGGAGGAAATGGAAGGCAAAAGGCAAAACCGCGGATTTGAAATTCAATCGCGCACCCTTCTGTTCCGAGGCCCGATGAATGACGTGAAAGAGAACTTCCATTTGCGACAGAAGTGGGGCCGATACTGTGGAGATAAGTGGGGCTTCCATCTGGTTGCCGGCGGGAGATCCTGGGGTCGGGTGGATGGGCACAGTGTGTTACAGTGTGGTACAGTGTGAGGGGAATATCAGCGGGGGGAGGGGATTTGCACTGGAAGTTTAACATTTCTGTATCTTGACACTGAACTTGACGATGTCTTCATCTGCTATATGCAAACACGGTTAGATGCTGCACATACGACGATAAGTACCGCGCTTCAACCGGCAATTTACAAATTCCCCTCACCCATCATTTTCATGTCGTCCTGCCGTCCACACCACCCCCTCCCCCGATTGGTGTCATGCCACCATGCCTCGCATGCCTAAACCCCGAAAGCTAAAAGCCAAGTTCAACGGCGTGCGCCCAACTTCAGGAGCTTGAAGCCCGACACCCGTTGATTGGTCCTTTCCCTCCTCACGCAGCGTGAGATCTTGAATTTTTTAAAGAAAGACTCATCACGCGGTTTCCCGTTGATGGCTGCCTTGGCCCGGTCTAACCTACCGCATCTCGTGGTAGCCAACATGGTTTGCTGATGGAGTACGGGGTCCTCATGGTATTTGACCTGATGCTGTCCCCCTCACTGACAGCTTGTCTTGCATGATTGACGGTAGAATCACGATGGGATGAGATATTCACACCCATTTCTTTCTTTGGAGAGGATGGGACTGGTATATAGCTATCCTGGGTTGCGAGAGGGTGAATTTCATGACCAGGACACTCCCCGACTGTGCTTTGTCTTCTCGAACCAGTAAGCAAGCCGAAAATGGAGGAGGATTACGACTACAAGATCAATAAACAACCTCAGCAACGGCTTGGATTCTGGCTGTTGCCATTCAACAAAGCCGCCGCCGCCCTGGTCAGCTGCCACCCGTGGAACCTCGAGCGATATGCTTTTGATAAAGACACTTCCGGTCTCTGGATAGACTTTTCCAATCTCGACAAGCAAGAGTACACTGTAGGGTGCAGTGACTCGGTCGATATCTACCTGCCACAAGTCTGGAACTCGACAGATTCATCAGGGATATCAGAACTTCACGCATCCTTTCGAGCCGTCACAGACACGGGTTCCATTCTTCTTTGCGACAAGTCCGAATACTCTTCCACAGAGCCCTTTTCCCACGGCAGCCGTTCATACGCCGTGAACTTTCGACCAAACGACGAACGATCAGTCCTGGTGGCTCAAGGAATCAACTCACTGGTGGCTTTTGGTCACGGCCGGTTCTATCAGTTTGAGCTACGCTGGGAAAGTGACGGTCTCAACAGGTTTCGCATGGAACCACCGGTGCTCTACGCTTTGGGTCCGAGCCGAGTCAAGACGAAGAGGTATGTGCTAGGGGAGAAAGTAGGCGGCGGTACGTTTGGAAAAGTCTACCGCGCCTTGGACGTGACTACCGGGAGTATCATGGCCGTCAAAAAGTTCCATCGTCTATCCAGCAAGCAGCTTGACTTTGCCCCGAGGGAAATCACAAATTTGCTCAAGGTCAACAGCGATAAATCAACACGATGTGTATGTCACTCACTTCCTCTTTCTTCATGCTTTGAATCTTTACTAACACATTCAAGGACCACATCATCCAAATCCTCGATTACACCACCGGCTCCGACTGGGCCGAGATCTTCCTCCCTCTCAAACAGGGAAACCTCAAAACCCTCGTGTCAAAAATCCTCCCTCCCTCTTCCCATTTTCAAGTCTCCAACATCGTCCTCCACCAAATGCTCCTCGCGCTCCAACACCTCGACACCCACAAAATTATCCACCGCGATCTCAACCCCGAAAACATCCTTTGGGAACACTCCCCTTCCACCGGTACCTATCACTTCACCCTTGCGGACTTTGGTCTCTCCACCACCACAAACTCCAACTCCAACTCCAACAACCCCAAACGGCCCGAAATAGCAGGCACAACACCCTTCATGGCTCCCGAGATGTACGCCCGCCACAAACACAAACAGAAACAGACAACAAAGGCCGACATCTGGTCCCTCTTCGCTACGGTCGTGTGGGTGCGCGATGCGAAATTTCGAAAGGGGTGTGAGCTGCTTGGGCCGCATTTGGTGCATGTGTGGCTTAATAGGATTGCCGGACAAGGAAAAGGGGGGATATAGGAGTATAAGGAGGATGGCGTGTTTTGATCCGCGGAGGAGGCCGTCGGCAACGGAGCAGTTGGAGATTTTGGAGATGCAGGCTGTGATGGAGGAGTTGGAGAATTTGGATGAGCTGGATGAGCTAGATAAGCAGGAGGAGTGGGATGAGATGGAGGCTAGGTTTTATGGGATGAGTCTCCGTTGGAATAATCATGAGGGGATAGGATTCGAGGGCGGAGGGCTGGATGATGCGTATGCCATGGAGATGCCGTATTATCGGCAGGATGAAGCGTATATGACTGGGGCGATAGATAATTATGGCTGGAGTGATGGGAGTAATGCTTGGTCTAGTGAGGGTTATGTGCGTCCCATGGAAGTGCCACGGGATCAGGAGGTGAGTTTTAACCACTCGTTAGAACAAAGCTTTTTCTGACAAGATTTAGGGATGGACGCAAGATTATGACGGTCACGATGGTCTGGCTAACGATACAACGGACGAAGCCGACGCAGCCCTAGCGAAATGGACGGCCTGGTACCTCGCAACAGACAGGCAATTGTTGACAGAAGACAAGTAGGCTACATAAAAGTTCTGACTTTATCCTCTCTCAAGTGACAGATAATACCAAAAGAAAAAAAAAACAACCCGAACAATAACATTTGCTTGCATCTAGAATCTGGATAGATAGCTACCTAAAGGGGTCTCGTAGTCCTCGTAGTCCATTCCATCCGCGGCTCTAGGCTAGTCATATCATCAACGGGGAGAAGCCGTGGAAGATATGGGTTATGAGCCCAATGGTATTGTACTGGTTCGGGAATCGGCGGGGTATCTGTATTACTTTTCCCTATGGTTTCTTCCGTGGCAAGCTGGTAGGATGGTGTAGCGGATATAGAGATATTAAGCTTCTCACATGCACGAACGTCCTTTCCATCCCCCAGCTCCCGTTCTCGTGCGTGCAACGTCGCGGGTTCGAACTCGGAGAGCTGTAAGTCCACATCTCTTTTTTTTTGCACCTTTCTGGTTGGATTGTTGTGATGGCTCGTGATATGCACGCTTGCTCACTCACTTGCGAGTTCGCTCACTCTTCCAGGTTTTTATTGATAAACAAGGTCACCTCCGCCTCCGAGGCCTTAACCTCCACCACCACTCCTTCCGCAATTCCTCCCACCAACTTGAACTGGTAACACCACAGATCACAAATACCATCATGGTCAACGGTAACGAAAACGCCACCCAGATCCAGAAGCTCTTTTGAATCACTCCATCATCCCCCCCGTCCACGCCTCCACATCCATCATTACCTCCTCCTCCTCCTCCTGCTCCTCCTCCCCCTCCTCCTCTTCTCCCACCCCACCTTGACCACCCGGAAGATAATCATTATACCCATCAATAACCTCCCACTGAAAAGCAGGCAACGCAAAAAGCGTAGCAAAGAACGTGGCCGGCAGAAATGCCATGGTCATGACGGCAATGACGCGCATAGACGAGGCCTCGCGATGGTTTGTCGATGCGTCCGTCCTTGATATTCTCGCCATGAGCACCTTGGTCCAGACTACGGCCTCCTTTTGGCGACAGGTCCAGCCGAAGATACGGGCTTTGAGTTGAGGGATGATCAGGTCGCGGACGAGTAGGCGGATTTGAGCGTTTGCATCCTCTGTGATTGGGTCTACCGCGGTGTTGGTTCCGGAAATAGTGAGTTCCCGCCAAAGTTTCCTCCGGATCGTCAACTGCTTCGCCATCCGCAACGCCAATCTAAGACTTGACTTGGCTTCCTGCGCTTTAGTTGACACCCTCCCCAAGTCTCGACACCGTCTTGATAGCGTCTCCATTAATACGGGCGATAGTTCCATCGAGTCGGTGTAGATCTTATCCGACGCACACCACCCTTCCCCCGCCCTATCCCCCTTCTTCTTCTCCGCGGCCTTTACCCCCTTATATAGGCCACCACTGTCCCGTTCCCCTTCCAAACCGGTTTCACCCCTCCAAACACACGCCCTCGCCACATCAGCGCACACCACCGCCACCGGACTGCCCAATACCCCCCTGAACACTTCCAGATGATACTTGACGACGTTGAACTTGTGGCCCATACGCTCATCCACAAAACACACCCCCAGCGTTACTCTTCTCTTGATATTATAGCTCCATATGGTGGTTACATCGTTGCTGGATAGGTAAAACCTCAATACCTGCCCATCAAGGAAGGGAAGTTTGTGCGAAGATGGGCTGGATGAAAGGACGTGGAAACCGGGAGTAAATGTGTGGAAGAGGTAGAGGGCGTGGGGGTCGAGGTCTAGGACGTGGAAGAGACGGAGGAGGAGGTGGGGGTTGATAAGGAGGGAGTGCTGGGGTTTGTGGGGGATGTGGAGGAGGCGGAGGAAGGATTGTGGTTCAGGCTTAGGGGCTGTGATTGTAGTGGCGGGTGTGGCTGTCGTACTGGAGGGAGTGTTGCTGGAGGCTGAGGGCGGCCTGGTGGATGGTCTTAATTTGGGTCCGGAGCCGGAATGGGAGGGTGTAGAGGAGACGGAACGAGAGGAGGCGGAAAGAGGTAAAAGCGGCACCGGCTTCGTGAGTAGATCCTCGCCTTCTCGGGTCAAAAGGAGCGATTGGGAAATGGCTGTGATACCCCAAGAGCTGAAAGTGGCATCAGACCAGGAGACGATGCCGAATTCTTGAAGGGGCGGTTCGGGTTGAGAAGAGTTGTTTAAGGAGAGGGTGGGCGGCCAAGTATCGGGCTCGACGTTGGTGTCGAGATCGATGTTTGAGGTGGGGAGACCGACTGCTTCGTGAGCTAGGTGGCGGAAGCCGTTCATCTGGAGGTTTGGAAGACGTTTGTTAACAGCATCTGGGGTGAGAAAGACGAAGGTGGGTATAAGGGCAAGTAATGGCCGTGATTGTTGAGGTGATTTGCTTGGGACTATATACGCCCACTCAAACCCCGGCTGCAGTTCCGCGAAGCAACAACACGGCACATTGTGTTTCTTCATACCCTTCCAACATTCATACCAAGAGGCAAGACATTGTACCCTCGAACCACGGCTCACATGAACCCCTTTTTGCTGGTGTCGTCACAGACAGTCGTTCAGGATCATGCAAGTAGCCTTCACCGCCGGCCTATGTCTCGATCAGCCCTTTCAACCAGGTGCGCCTTGTGAACCCCAAGGCGTCAAGTCCCTTGTGCGACGCCTGTAGGGTGTCGCAAAGGAAGCAAACAGCGAGGGCTTTCGTAGAGACTTGGGTTATGTGGGACAAAGGAAGACGGCAGGTGGTTATGCAGGATCCCTTGGTATCGAGGTAGAGAGGGGTGAAAGATCGGTGAAAGAATTAGATGACTTTCGGTGGAAATGACGAAATAACAAGCGATCATGAGCGATACTTTGGCTCGTTGGAAGTCAGAGTTCAGGCAAGAAAACTCGTGGTGATTCGTGGTGATCAGGCGGTTCTCAACGGAACTTAGCTGGTTGCGGCTTCCAGCAATGAGTAATCGATTTTGGACAAGTGGGTGGGAAGCGGCAGGATATACGTTGGCGCAAGTCAGACCCATCAAAAAGGAGGACGTGGAGCTGTGCTAACTCTAAATAGTGTGAAGCTTTTGCGTCGTTGAGCTCTCAAAATGGACCACATATCGCTTCACTTGATCCAAGCCACTCCGTACCAGTTAGCCAGCGTGTCAAATATTGACGACATGTCTGTGTCCAGTGACAGTGTACCCTATAGATATATTAGTGTCACGTTGGAAGCATACTCTTCCATTTTTTGTGGTTATCTGGAAATTAGTCTCATCCGGAGTTAGTGTCGATAACTATGCCGAAAAGCAGCGTTGAGATTCCGTGATCACCCAATAAGCTGGAAGTGGGCATTTAGGAGGCTCAGCTGCGCCAAGGCTTTAGTAGAGGCTGAGAATTTGCAGCTGACTGGTGCCTGAAAGGGTTTCTCGTGTGATACAGCGGAGCCCCATGAGATTTGGGACCGTTAGCTTGGGCATAAATAAGGTGAGCTGAGCCTGCTCGCATGTTCTCTGGACACTTCACCATCACTCACCAATTCGGCGTTTGAGGCAAGTCCCCGAGGTTTAACTTTTGTCTCAGAATTCAGAAACCGCTCAGAGCTTGCCTCATCCACAAGCATGCCACTTACCTACATTCCTCGGGACCTCGACTACGTTCCGCCACCAGGTCAAGAAGTCACTCGAATCGAGACACACCACGACGATCTTTTCCAGGCAACAGATGTCCCACTCCGAGCATGGAATCGGCCGCTAGACCTTCCACCGGAAGATCCAACTCTAGGTCTCTGCGCCCGGCACCGTCTCATGGACCTCAAACGCTCAGATTTCGGGCCTCGGCGGTTTAGCCAACAACTTCCTCCAGAATGGTATCTCGGTACCTATACTGAGGTAGCGGCACGGGGATCATGGTGCAAGGTGTGTCAGCTGGTCGCCGAAGCTTGCGATGACATTGCATGGCCGGATGAGGCGGATATAGTTATGAGCTGGATTGGAGATGTGCGGTGGAGGAAGAAAGCTGGGCATGATGATGAGCTGAGTGGAACGTGGGAAACTTTGAGGCTCAGGGTTCGATCGGTCATGATCGGAAGAGCACCGCCTTTTACACCTTTCGATCTGGTGCCATTGGGTCGAGAGGGGGAACTATTCCAGGGGAGATGTCTCAAGGAAGGTCAAATTGATCTAGATCGCGTGAGGGCCTGGCTGAAGTGTTGCAGGGAATGGCATGGAGGGGAGTGCTCCCACTGGATGAAGCAGCAGAGCGTATCGGAATCTATCACGTCAGCGACATTCGACCCATTCATCCGACTCATTGACCTCGAGGAGAACTGCCTAGTGGAGAGAAGCGATCTCGTACCGTACGTAGCATTGAGCTACGTCTGGGGCCGGGCGACGGTTTTCAAGACCCGCGAAGAAACAATCGACGAGCTGAGAAAGCCTGGAGGGGTATTGGAAAAGAAGGCATTGTTCCCGCGTTCACTAAGGGACGCAATGACGCTGGCGCAAAGACTTGGATACCGGTACATCTGGATCGACTCCATCTGCATCATCCAGAATGATGACACCGACACGTACCAGAACCTGGATAAACGACATCAAATAGGGCAGATGGGAAAGATTTACCAGTACGCGGACCTCACCATAGTGGCTGCCAGTGGAGAGGATGCGAACGCTGGCCTGCCAGGGGTAGAGCCTGGGACGCGGTTAGGCAAGCAAAAAGAGGTCAAGATATCAGATGACCTGACCATCATGAATCGCTCTGTCGCCTGGCCGGATGCGCTGCTTAGAACAACATGGGAAGAGAGAGGATGGACCTACCAGGAGCGCATCCTTTCCCTGCGCTATATGTACTTTGTCGATGACACGGTACACTTCCAGTGTCAGCGAGCCACTTGGAGCGAAGACTTTGCGGCCGAGTCTCCGGACCTGGCGTTGTCGGCCGCTGACCAGGTGGTCGACTTCAGCCATATCCCAAGTGAAGTCCCTCCCCCAATCGAGTTGCGGCCAAATTTGAAGTTTCAGCTCAAGCGATATCCCGAGCTGGTTGGCCAATACACGTGTCGCAATATGACCTTCATAACGGACCGTGTGAATGGAATCCAGGGTATCTTGAACGTGATCAAGGATCACTTCTTTTCCCAGGACGTGGAGTTTGTCCATGGGATGCCAACGGGTGAGCTTCTTCATCCGGGACTTCTCTGGCGACCAAGACTGGAGCCGAAGAGAATACATGTGGACGAGAAGAAAGGGAGACCGGTATGGCCAAGCTGGTCATGGGCCGGATGGACAGTACCAGTCTACTACGACTATGGTGCTGACTTTTCAGCCAACAACACTGGTCGATATCAAGCAAATATCAGCCTTGGCCCAGACCCATACTTCCTCCACTTGAGAGCTCGCGTGGGCCGGTTCAGACTCATGATCGAGGACCGAGGAAATGAGGATGCGGTCCCTCCACTGCCGCGTGTCCGGCCAACACGGTTGACGCGGTATGCGATAACGCATGCGACGAATCCTGATGGAGGTGATGAAGAGTGGATAGGGTCCATATGGTTGACGTGGTCCTATCGAAGGAAGTTTGTTGAACACCAGTTGAAACTTATTTCGAGGGTCACACAAGAGTTCATCATTCTTTCGGACGCAGACAAGTTTGAACGAGAGGAACTGGTGGAAGCCTCGACAGCCGAGAAGAGGGCCGTGGTCAACGTCATGATGATCGAACGGAAGGAGGATCCGGGAACGGATGGCCGGGTTCGCATTGAGCGGGCAGGTGTTGGTCGAATGTACAGAGATGCGTGGGATGGAGTTGAAGAGAAGTGGGAGCGGTTTGAGTTGGGATGATTGATAAGCTGATCGATCACAAGGGTCGAGCAAGTCAAGGAGCAGCCGGGTGTCCTAAATATTGACGTCGTGACCCACAACTGTGGTGGGAATTTGGGTGCGATCGATGATTCAGTTCATGGGCATTACTGGAAATAAACTGAGTGAGAGAGGAAATTGGGATGTTTATGTGTGGAAATATATGTCATTCACACGCACAAAGAGAGTGAAATTAAGGAGGTGAGCCTTCATAGGTTGTAAAGTTGAATTTCCAAAACCAGCAACGTTGAGCGGAAGGGCAGTTGAGGTTCAGGAAGCTGTGGCTTGAGCGCCCAATGCTCCACGGATCATGTGTGGCTCAGCCCCCAAAACCAATTAACCAGCCACACGAGGGGCCTGTTGCCTGACGCGTCTAGCTTTACGAACGACGCGTTTTCCTAAATTGAATCTCATAGCATCACCAAGTCAACAACACCAACAAAGGCCAAGGTCCACGTCGGCGCAGCACTCCAGCTCAGACTTCAGATCATAACAGCCCTTCCGCCAGAAAATCAACCCAACTCAACCACCATGTCGGACTTTGAGGATGAAATGGACATTGATGTCCCAGTGTCCAAGGACATCATGTTCGCTGCCACCAACACAGCAAAGGGCAAGCGAAGCGCCGCCAACCTGCCCGTCGAAGCAGAAGACAGCCTTCCATGGTAGCGAATTTCCTCTGACCCTCTCAATTGACTCATCATTGTCTAACCGACTTGTGACAGGGTCGAAAAGTACCGCCCCGTTTCGCTCGCCGATGTGTCTGGTCACCAAGACATCCTCGCAACCATCAACAAATTCGTCGACTCGAACCGGCTCCCCCATTTACTTCTCTACGGTCCTCCCGGAACCGGTAAAACATCCACCATTCTCGCCCTTGCCCGACGAATCTATGGCACCGCCAACATGCGCCAGATGGTGCTCGAGTTGAACGCCTCCGACGACCGTGGTATCGACGTTGTGCGCGAGCAGATCAAGACCTTTGCCTCCACCAAGCAGATCTTCACCCTCGGTTCCTCTGCTTCGCGATCGGGTCTGGCTGGCTTCAAGCTCATCATTCTCGACGAGGCCGATGCCATGACCTCCACAGCTCAGATGGCCCTTCGTCGCATCATGGAAAAGTACACGGCCAACACTCGCTTCTGCATCATTGCCAACTACTCCCACAAGCTCAGCCCGGCCCTTCTGTCGAGATGCACAAGGTTCCGTTTCAGCCCTCTAAAAGAGAAGGATATTCGTGTTTTGGTAGACAAGGTCATTGAGGAGGAGAACGTCCAGATCATGCCAGACGCTACCGATGCGCTGGTCAAGTTGAGCAAGGGTGATATGCGTCGTGCGCTGAACGTGCTACAAGCCTGCCATGCATCAAGTATGCATCCCATATCTCCCTCTCTTTCGCAGCTGAAGGCTAACCCGATCAACCAGGCACACCACTCCAACCAAAGGACGGCCCCAAGGTCGCCGAAAAGGACATTGTACGGGAAACCATCACTATCCAAACCATCTACAACTGCGTCGCCGCGCCACCACCCGACGCCATCAAAAAGATTCTCAGCACCCTTCTCAGCACAAGCGATGTCACGACATGTCTGTCCACAATCAACACATTGAAGATCTCACAAGGCTTGGCACTTGCCGACATCATTACCGCTCTGTCTGAGGAGATCGTCAAGCTAGAAGTCAAGCCCCAGGTGATGATCACATGGCTTGATGCTCTTGCGAATATTGAGCATCGAGTAGCGAGCGGAGCAGGAGAGATGATCCAGACTGGCGCGGTAGTGGGTGCGATACGGAACGGTGTCGAGTTGATGGGTTGATGTTGATGCGCTGTAATGGAAAGCGAAAAGCGATTCGGTGATGTACTATTGCATCTGTGGTTCGGAGTTTAAGCATATGGCGTTTGGGCAATTGATTCATGTTTCACCTTTCAAGTCAAAGGCGGCTTTTGACATTCTCTGCCTGTTTGTTTTGACAAAACCGGGCATCACAAACGACGCATTGCAATGAGGATAGGAGTAAGTGTTCGTTGTTCCTCTCAACACTGGCTGATAGCTCTGGTCTCAGTAGATATACCTGAACCCAGCGGCTCTCCTATCCCCTTCAGCCGCAACAGCAGTCTCTGGGTTCTCAGCCTCTTCCGCCTCGGCCTTCTCCAGCTTCTTATTCTCCCACTTATGCAGATAACGCAAGAACAACGCCAGCAAACCCACCAGAAGGCAGATAACCGAATTCGCACTCCCTCCGGGGATATACTGTGGCGCAGCCGTTGCTGGATACATGTACGAGCCATAAATACTAGCCGTATTTCCAATCATGTTGGCAATAGCCACAGCAGCCGACCGCTTGACCATAGGACGAGGGAACGAGTTGGCAACCCACGACAATATGATTTGATCTGACCTCTGTTAGTTCATCTTCACCAATAACAGGCATGTCCAGGCAAAACTCACAAGCAGAAACAGCCCCCATAGGCATCAAGAACATGGCAAAGAACCTCGCCCCCACCTTCGTCGTGCCCGTCGCAACCGCATTTCCAGCAGCAGCCAACAACATCAAGAAGAAGATATGCAAGCTGCGATCACCCGTCTTCGAGCTCGTCCAGGTCACACAGACGGAGATCAGAAAAGTCGCAAACCACACGGGAGCCGTCAACCACAGGGTTTCGATCTTGCCGTATCCGAGGGTGCCCACGATGCTGGGGAAGAAGTACTGGAACGTTTGGCTGAGCAGGGACAGATGCTGTAGCAAGACGAAGAGGTATAGTCGGTAATCTTTGACGGCGAGCTTCAGTCCGTCCCACACCGAGCGAGTATTTTGATCGTCGGACTCGTTGATGTCGGCTAGCAAGCGCCAGGAGGCATAGGCCCGCTCTTCTTCGCTTAGCCAGCGTGTGGTGTTGGGGTAATCGGGTAGGACAAAGGCGGCGGCGATGGCGACGGCTATGGTTATTGTTCCCTCCTGTTTTTTTTCCATCTGTCAGCTCAACCCTTTACCACAACTATCACCACCCTCAATTAGACTTAAGAAAAACTCACAATAATAAACAACCACCGCCACCCACTTATCCCCCTCGCGCCCTCCAAATTCCCCAGCACCCCCGCCCCAATAACCCCCCCAAACATATTCGCCAGCGCATTCCCGCTATAAAAATACGCCATCCGCTTCGTAAGCTCCGCCCTCGAGTACCAACTACTCATCAAAAACACCGCGCCCGGAAAAAACGGCGCCTCCACTATTCCCAACATTATTCGCACAACAAGTAAATGCTCAAACTTCTGACTAGCAGCACTACAAGCTGATACACCGCCCCACAGCGCCATTGCTGTTGACAAGTATATCGAAGGGCGGAGACGGGTGATGAGCATGTTACTCGGTAATTGCATGAGGAGGTAGGCGACGAAGAAAATGCTGGTTGCTAGGTTGAAATCTGTGCCGGACATGGAGAGGTCGGCTTCCAAAGTGCCCTGTCGGGCTTGCGCGAGGTTGGACCGGTCGAGGAAGTTGAGGAGGTACATCAGGATCAAAAAGGGGAGGAGGTGGAGGTCGATTTTGCGGAGGAGGGCTTTTTGGGTGCGGGCGTGCCATTCGGGGGGCGCGGAGGAGAACTGGGTTGTCCATGGGTCCTGGGTATTATGGTGGTGGGATTTGGTTGCTGAGAAGGGGAGGTCGTCGATTTCGTGTTTTGAGGGCTCCATGCTGGTTTTGGGATTGGGATTGTGGTGGTGGCCCGTTGTGGGCTTTTCGGTTGAAGTCATGGTTAGGGAGATGATGAGAGAGAAGAAAGGAGGAAGAAGGTGAAGAGAGAAGGTTGTGGTCGGTGATGCTACTGGACAAAGTCGATTTCAAGTGCTATACCATCGCTATCTGCCTCTTGTTCGCCGTCTGTTCTTTTGTCCCAGGTTGCACAAAGGCAATCAACTTAGCCGAGTCGACGATAAGCACCAGGTGAGGCATGTCCAACGGCCAACAGCCAGGAGGATGACCGGTAGTATATGTAGCCTCCGCCCATCATGACCACCATCCTTATTCCGCCTCTGTCCCATTCTTCCGAATGAACCCAGCCATCTGGCTCTCTTCACCCGGATATCGTCCGGCATCATAAACCAAGGTTTCACCCGGTCATACGACGTTCAGGGGCGCTTTTCCCAAAGCCTCTAAAGCCAAAGACCAAGCCAATGATGACAACCAATGCCGATCACTTCTATCTCGAATGGCTTCACTTCCTGTCATGGTCTCTCACCCCCCAACTTGCCAAACTACACTAACTTCCCCGCATTCCGACCCCCAACCTACCTCTAAACCTAAACCTTACCCCAGGTTTTACCCAAAGCAGGGCAGCCAAGGAAATCTATTGAATCTGGGGAAGGTGGTCAGACACGGAAAGGCAGAAAGGACAGGAAACAGTAAAATGAGGTGGAGTATCTCCTCTTCACGTGGATTCTTTCCGGTCGACTGGTTGACGTTTGAACTCTCAACGAACTGATGGCTGAACTTGGAAAGAAGACATGGTTGAACTGTCACGATTGTGGAGAATTGCCCCAGGTTTTCGCTTCTCATGGCGTCTCATAGCGTCAACACTTGCCTCGATTGGGGAAGCCGATGGTGCAGTGAAATTGGTGAGTAATTCCATTCATGCTGTTTTCTGTTGTTCGGGTGAGAGAGTGCCGAAGTGGTGTTAGCTAAGTACTTTGAGAAACTGTACTATCCGAACCATCGTGCCGGTTTCCCTTTCATAGTGTAGGCGAGGTACCTTAGGAATGGCAAGACAGTGTGCCCAAATAGCTGAACGAAACGAAACGTTGATTTTGGCTCTTTTTGGCTGAAGTACATACCGTAGTTGCCAAAACATCGCCCTTTTCTCCCCGCACGGTTGGGACGGCTGGGACGGCAGTTGCGTTGCAAAGCATGACTGGGTAACATCTTCCTGAATGGAGGAACAAGAGTTGGGGTAAATGTGAAGACACAGGCTGACAGGTTGGGAAGATACCGAGGAACTTCCACTTGGAGAGGTTGTACCTAATGGATGATTGAGGATCTTCACCTTGATTTTGCTGATTCTCTGACCGTGAACTCAACTACACTACTGGGGACTCTGGGGGTTTTTTTTTTCATGTTGTGGAAAGCTTCTGACGAAGGGTGGCGGTGAACTTGGTGAAACGATAAGTGAAGGTGGTTCCATGAAATTGTTAATCCCTAGATGTGGTGAAGTGCTTACTGTCGGCGATACCTATTCCACTGTTAGCTCTTTTCCATCAGCCACAAACCATTCACCACTCGCAACTTCCTCGTGATAGTCAAGCGACATAATCCTTCCCTTCTTCATAATCCTCTTACCACCTATTTCATCAAGTTCTCAGTATGCCCTCAAACATTTCTATCAAGACCGGGTATTCTGATCCCAACCTCGGAATACCCTCAGCCTTTCACCTCCCACACACCTACCGTCTTCGCACTAACACTTACACTTACACTACACCCACTGTAAGCCTGAAGTGCACAGTGGATCCCTCCCCAATTTGCCACGCCTTCAGCGGGAATTTGGCGGCCCCGGACCCCCACTAACAACCCCACAGCACGTGTTTTGGCGGAGTCAGCACCAAGAGACGACGGGAAGTGGAAATCCGGGGCCCCGCAAAGATCGCCATTCATCCCATTTGTTGACGGGGAGCAATCGAGATTCAAGATGGAGCCCGTTTTTCAGGTTTGTCAACGACAACTGAAGTCAGGTGTTCCATCCCATCTTAACCACGAGTGAGTGTTTAGCACGCGACAACATCCCCAAGTAACCCGTCACTGCCAGTTCGGCAAGGTGGTTTCGCGAGAGTTGGGGATGGTGCGTTCGCATAGAAACTCTGGAACGAAGACAAAAAGAAGAAAAACCATCAAGAGGGAATCAAAGAAAAGCGCACAATGAAACAAGACAACAGCCAAAATCTAGGCAAAAAGATGAAGCCTAGAGTAGGCTTTTGCGCTTGTTCGGTTTGAGTGTCCCAGGATTATAAGCATCCATCCGTGATACAAAAGCGACCACTCCTGACCTTCGTAGGTGTGCCTGTTTTGAGGTAACCTAAATGTCTGCACCTACGACGCTCTCCCCAACTGAGCTGAGCTAATCGGACTCTTATGTATGCGGGTTGTATTATTACCTTGTGGGTAGTTTTCGGGTTATGAAGCTATGGTGAAGACTTGGGCGAAGGGAGTTGAACAGAATCACGTTTAAAAAGAAGAAAGGGACCATGGCATGTTCAGAAATATTTCATTAGCATCATTATATAGTTGATATCAAAACAGGCATGTTGAAGCCACAGGTACACAAACAAGACCCAACCTACTGGGTCAAGGGACGAAAGGAAGTAAGTAGGCATCTCAAGTCCACAAATGGAACCTCGGATGTCTGTTCCCCAGATGCTCCTGTTCCTCCTCCGTCAGACCCTCGAGCCTGTGATCCCTCTTGCCTGCCGCCCTGGCGCGGTTTTCCCATACGCAGAAGAGAATACCGAAGATGGCGAGACAAACGGTGGCGATCTGGCCGCCGAGGTTGATGGTGTGGCCGGTGTGGTACTTGGGCGCATCGGAGGGGATGTAGGTCCATCTATGTATGACTGGGTTAGGTCCGTGACCTGGAAGAGAGAGTGGTAGGAGAGAAAGAGAGAAAAAAGAAAACTCACGTAGCAACGATACCGCCAATAGTCCCCAACGTGACGACATAACCGCTTGTTACCGCTCTCACAGCCGGTCCAGCCGAATCTGCTTGTCATTAGCCTTTCTGCCTTTCCTTCCATCTCGAATGCACCTCGGACGGATGAAACTCACTATTGATAGCCCAACTCAAGAACCCGGGTCCACCAGGAAACGCGCCCACCGTGACGAAAAACACAGCCATGTACCTGATATTCGGCTGACTGACCCACCTCAGAATCGCGAACCCGATGACCGCCAGCCCGGAAAAAGCCGCCAGCCAGATGCCCCTCTGCCTGCTCTTATCGCTCCCGTACGCCACGGCAACAGCAACCACGCAAGCGCACACATACGGCGGCACGCTGTACAGCTGGGCCTTTGTGTTCGTCCAGCCCAAATCATTCAGAATAGTCGGCAAGAACACCGACAAGCCCTGGACAGTAATATTAATCAAGAAAAACCCAATGGCGCACGTGTAATTGTGCACATTCATAACCGCAAGCTTGACATGACGCCACTCGACCTTTTCCGCGGGATCAGCGCGATGTTCTCTGACCAGCCGTTCGGCCGCGATGCGTTTTTCGTGCTCGTTCAGAAACCACGCCGTCTTGGGGTCCGTGGGCATCCAGATCGGCGCCAGCAA